ATTCCACGTCTTTTTTCAATGCGTTTTGTACATTTGCGCATTTATGAATTTAACGTTTTTTTTTTACACGCGCACGTTTATGAATATTTGTTTTTGTTTACGTCTTTGAATTTTCAATTTTAGATTTTTTTCTTCCAATTGTAAATCTTTCTTTCGTTTTGTACTTTAAATAAGAGAAAATTAATATATATGATCGAAAACAGGCAGACGTGATTTTTTTATTAGAAATTTTGGTGATGACAAAAATAAAAAAAGGCATTTTATGATTAAACTTTGGCCACGCAAAAACTTTCCTCCTTTAGCCTTCATTACTGCAGCTCACATTTTTGACATTTGTTGCAAAAATTTCTTAAAACTTTGATAATTGATTACATTCTTTTTTTTTTTTTTTTTTTTCAATGACTCTAAGAGGTCTTTTTCATTTTTCCCCTCTCTTCTGCCAAATTCATCCCATGCTAATTCTAGGGGTGTGTTCAAACTTTTGAAATATATATGTATATATATATATATATATATATATATATATATATATATCATAGTAATTTTAATATATATATACTATAGTAATTTTAATTTCAATAATGAATATGCTTATAAAACGCGTAAATTTCAGGAATAAGTTATTCAAAAAAAAAATTTCGCTTGAAGATGGAACAGAGCTTGGTACTTTAATTCAATTTTATTCAAATAAGCATATTGAAGTTTTCGGCTCTTGTTTTGAAACATGAGAACTCTTATGTAGCGTTGGAATCATATTTTTAAAAAAATAATTATATTTAGGCTCTACTTTTGTATCGAGCACTATTTTTTTTTAAATAATAACAAAAATACTAAAGAACTTTGGATTATTTACCTAACGAGTTCTTTCCTATTTTCTATATATTTTTACACACACACACACACACATACACACACACACACACACACACACACATATATATATATATATATATATATATATATATATATATGTATGTATGTATGTATGTAAATAACTGCATTCTCTGTATTATTTGCATATCATTTGTTTCGTGTTCACTTTCTAGTTGTTTCTTTTCTTCCTAAACACCTTGCCACTTCCCTTTTAGTCTGGTTGGATTTGAATTGAAACCACAGCCCAGTATTGCTCATCATGCTTTGATATGTTAAATACTTTTCAGTATGTCCCTAGATATTTCGTTTTGTTGCATAAACATAAACACATACACTCATATATATATATATATATATATATATATATATATATGTGTGTGTGTGTGTGTGTGTGTGTGTGTGTGTAGGATGTATAATATTCCACGAAATAAAAGTGAGCATGGCACAAAGAGGAAGATTTATAAACGGCTGTTCTCCTTGGATTCCTTCAGATAGAATGCAAGAAAGAAGTCGAAACTGTGTGTGAAGGAAAATGCCTTTGTGTTTTATCGGAATAAAGTGTCGCTATCAACACTAGAGTTTGAACATAGATTGCCCAGTGAGAAAACACAGGTGATCCCATTATTGAATTAAGTAGACCATGAGACCATAGACAAAACGCATAAGTAGGAAGTCGCGTGACGTCTAGATTGATCGCTACTCTATCCTCTATACTATAAGGACCGCTATTCTCTACACTATTCACTATACTATTTCTCTATTCGGATCACTATTCGGTGATTACTATTCGAGCGAGTATTATCGAGCAAGTACTATTAGTGCGAGTGATATTCGAAGGCGTCTGACACCAGTATTGTTCAATGGCGTTACTATAGTTGTATCTGCGATTACAAAGTCTCTACTACAACGAGCATTACGAAACTAACAACGAATGTTCGTTGACATCACAAAATTTTGGATCTCTGATGATGAATGGGAAGCTTAAATCAAATTAAATTAGATTACCTTATTACCTCCAATGACCAAACTCAAGAGAGTGTCTGTTTGCTTTGCTTGTTTTATTATATATATATATATATATATATATATATATGTGTGTGTGTGTGTGTGTGTGTGTGTGTGTGTGTGTGTTTTATATATATATATATATATATATATATATATATATATATATATATATATATATATATAGCTTTTTGTATTGTTGTTTGGGCCAGTTCTCATTGGTCAGGCACGTATCACGTGCATTAAAACCGTAGATAATTTTATTTATATATATATATGTACGTTTATAAAGATTCTTGTATGTCTAAGTGGGCATCGGATGGTAAAGTGTATTAGTAATTGCGTATGTGTGCCTGTCTAGTAGGAGGGTTTTGTTCTTCATTTGTTTTCTATCTTATCATCCTATCGGATTACGATCCATATTTGAGCTGCATTTGATCTTTAACATATATGTGTGTGTGTGTGTAAGTGTGGTGTGCGTGTGTGTGCGTGTGTGTGTATGTGCGCGCACACACACACAAACTCCGAAAGTTTTCAAAGTAATATAAACAGTTTTTAAACACCTATAGTAACAATTTATCATGAAACCTATTCGTGAATTCCTCTTGCGACGTTAATATCTGACATCTTTAAAGGACTAACGAATTACCAAATTGCCTTGAAACATTCTGCTGTTTACTGCATATGACTTGGAATGTTTGGAATACTGCATATGACTTGATGCTTGGAATTCAGTTTTAATCAAAACAGAATGAATGAATTCATCGGAATGAGGTTACAGACGGTTTGTTGGTTTTCCGGACATTTTTTTTTGTTTCTCTCTAAATTTATTCCTCTTCGTCTACCATCAGGCCTTTTCAAATTACATCTTTCTTTTTTTTCTTTTTTTGTTCCCTCCCTTCTGCTTCTAGTTCGTTGTTTTTTTTCTCTTTACACTTTCACTGATTTTTATCGTACCTCAAACTTCCTTTATTATTATTATTATTATTTCCTTTGACTTCTGTTTTATACACATTTTCATCCGGGCCCCAACCAGAGATCCAAGGTCAGAAATGGCTTCATGGCATTTTTCACTGATCATTTTTATCAAAAAAAAAAAAAAAAACACACATTACACATAGATAAATTTTTTAAATCTCTTTGTAATGTGTGAGAACAATTTTTTTATTTCTTTACGGCACGGATTAACAGGAATCCCTTCACTGATTCTAATGGAATCTTTTTCCATCAATCCGAGGGCTCCAACTACAACTGGAGTTGTCCTCATGAGCCACATTTTGGAGATTTCGATTTCAAGATCCTTGTATTTTGATAGCGTTTTGAAGATCTTCAAAGATACTTTACAATCTGCAGGGAATGCCATGTCAATAAGGAAAGCACATTCCGTTTTTTCGATCACGATGTCTGGGCAATTAGATTTGATCGTTCTGTCCGTGAACATTGTAAAGTCCCATAAAATTGTTACAAGTCCGATGTCTGTAACGGGATCTGGAAAGATATTCATACCAGTTTCTTGCAGTTTCCTTCCAGTAAAAATTGCATATTTTCCATTGCAGATATTGGCCCACTCTCTCATGCCGAGTTTTATATTCAATGTGCAATCTGATAAAAGACGTTCAATTGTTTCTGGATATTTATCACAGAATCTGCATTTCGATCTAACACAATTTTTCATTATGTGTCCTTGGTAATTTCTACTTAACAGACATTGGTTCTGTTCAGTAAGATTATAACCACCGGTTTCAGCTTTTAACCCTGCACTTTGTAACCACTTTTTTTAATTTCTTTTTTTTTTTTTTTTTTTTTTAAGGTTCTTCTTTGCAGTTTCTCTTATGTTCATGCTATTTCGTTGTATATCAACACCTCTATGGGTTATTTAATGCCGAATTCTCAATATTTTGAACACAGCTGCATGCCTTTAACTACAGATAAAATGTATTGTTGGTCATTTTGCTATAAAATGTATTGTTGGTCATTTTAGTATAAAGAGGTAATTCTGGTAATTTTTCTATAAATAAATATTTTTATACTTTCATAGTGTTTTTTTTTTTGTTTTTGTTTTTTGAGGGTTCATTATTTGCCCCTACCTTGGACGCTAACAGGTGCTACCACCCTGGGTCAGTGCAGACGTTGCAACAGTAGCAATTAAGAGGTTGTTCCATGTCCCTCAAAACCTCCTGTTTCCCGATCAGATGTCTTGCTGCCGGATGTAGTTTATCGTCATGCTATTTCACTGAAGTTAAGTTAGAAGTCCAAAACAAGACTTCTTATTAAAGTTAAAATTAAAGTACGAAATATGTAAGTAGACATTTATCAACAGGAGGGAGAGGAAGTTTAATAACCATCCAATTAGTCCCTATTTCATGGCAGTAAATGCTTAAAATAGTAAAAGATTCAGGATTCATTCATTCATTTTCTACAGTTTATCAACGCTTTGTGGGTTACTTGATCCTTTGAGTCCTGCGTTCCTGAACAATTATAACCCTTCTGCCTGAGCTCCTGAGTCAAAATTCGTAAATAATTCGTATGTAATGCTTCACGGTAGATATAAAAATAGTTACAAAAAATATAACTTCCTGATTGCTTCCCTGACGGACCAGGTTGGGACTCTGCACGCTTCATAGTAAAAACGATCTTTTCTTTTTTTTATCCCAAACACATTGAAAAGATGCGGACATGTTGGTATAGCGTTCGATGACATCAAAATATTACGGCTTTTCTGATTGGCTCTTCAAAATAAGACAACCAATAGCAAAACATGTCGCAAGTGTTCACCTGGTGGCTGGGAATTAAATCATTTTTTTTTCTATACCACTGTTCAATTACGTCATTTTCTCCACCACCGGTAAAGCAGTGGTCAGGGCTGTGAAGGTTAAAGGGAGAATTTTTTTTTTATTTTGTAAGAATGTTCTTTCGTTTTTGTTTTTTTTTTTTCGTTTTGTTTTGTTGAGGTAATAATGATTTAGCGATACAAGTCTTACTAATTAATCCGTAGCTGGAGGGAGAAGAAGTGGATTCATATCTTTCCCACGGAAATTTGCGCTTAAGTGAATACAACGTAACCAACAAGAATTGGAACGCGACTGTAATTATCAATTACACTATCCACACAACACAGGCTAATAACACCTGATATTCCCAAGTGGTCACCCATCTAGGTACTGAACTGGTTCGACGTTTGCTTAACTTCGGTGATCGTACGGAAGCCGGTGTTTCTACGTGAAGTAGCTCTAAGCTACTCGAAGATTAAGTCGAGGCTTAAAAAGGTTAGGAAAACATTTTTGTATTCAAACTGGTAACAGTTCGACGTATGATAAATTCATTAAAAAGGGGTTTTGTTGAAAAATTGAAGAATAATGTTCTCGTTACGTTCAAATTCATCTTCCAAAGCCTTGCGAATTCAAATTTGAACGAGACGATGTTGCTAGTTTTCTCTTTTCTCTTATATCAAAAAGTCAAATTGTATCAACGGTTAATTGTTCTTTTTCTGTTTATAGTGATTTTCCAAGCGTAGCTTAGATGTGGCACAAGGCCGAAAGTGAGGATCGAATTCACGAATCAGTCGTAACTGATCTAAACTTGCTAAGCATTGCATCACGTTGAATTGCTCAGTTATTTTCTGAGCGTAGCTCAGATGTGGCACAAGGCCAGAAGTACGGGGGCACCCAGTGAGAATCGAACTCGCTACTCAGTCGAAATAGATCTAAACTTGCTAAGCATAAAACTACGTTGAATTGCCCAGCGATTTTCTGTGTGTATCTTAAATGTGGCACAAGGCCGAAAGTATGTGGCACCCAGTGAGAATCGAACTCACTACTCAGTCGAAATTGATCTAAACTTACTAACCATTACACCACGGTGAAGTTCACAGCGATTTTGTGAGCGTAGCTTCGATGTGGCACAAGGCCAAAAGTACGGAGCACCTATCCAGCAAGACAAGTTTGACCGAGTTTTTATTATTATTTAAATCTAAAAAAAAAAAAAAACCTTTCTTGTTTCTGACTCACCGACTTCCTCAGCATTATGGCTGCACCATTCCTTTCCTCCTTGAAAACCTCACTTCTCTCAGAACATCATGGTTGTTATTATTATTGTTTCCGCATCCCCTGTTCTTCTTCTGCTTTTAATTCTTCGCTTCTGATCTTCCTTTGACTCCTTTCTTCTTTCTTTTGACGCCTCTACTCCCCTAACTTTCTTCCCGTTTCGTTCCTTCTGTCGCTCTATTCTTTATCATAGCTTTTTCCCAATCACCACTTATTTTCCCGCCACTTCATCAAAACGGCGGGAAACCTGCTATCACCATTTCACACACAGTCACGCACATGCAAGTTGTAGCAGCTTGATTTATACAATGCACGCGCTCCTGAAAAGTGTGTTAAAGAGGAAGACGTTGATAGAGACTGAAAAATATCGAGGCAAAGAGACACAAATTTGTAAGTGGTGGGCGCATGCGATAGAGCATTGTCTGCCAAATTGTTGCTAGTATAGTGAGTTCGAACCTTACCAGCTATCCATTATTTTATGCTGGTGACAAATTAAACAAGGTCTACTAAATAAATTTTGAAAGCGCCTGCTTTAGAGTGACATTCAGTATCGCAAACCAGTTTCCCCAATCTTTATTCCTGAACTTTTTCTTATACATATTGTGTCCCATCAAGACGTGGGGGGGTATGCCTCTCCATAACTTCCTTTCCTTCGTAGCTCTACGTGTTTGTTCCCTTACTATCCCTCAAACATCTATTTTCACAAGCTAGTTAGGAAGTTTGCTATTATCTTATGCCGTTCTTGCCTTCAATATCACCTCAGTGTCAAATTCTCCTAGCCCCCCCCTTTTTTCTTCATTTTGTGTCCTTAAAGTTTCTTTTTAATCATTTCACCCCAAGCAAGGTGGTAATGCCAGTAGTATGCAGGAAGGAGTGAAAGTGAAAGAGAATGAGAAAACTGGGAATGGGGAGGATTGAGGAAAGGACAAAAAAGGAACAGGGTTCAAATACACATGATGGCGATTGACGTTGCGTTTAGATTTTTGAAATTGTAGTTATCAGGGAAGCAAGAAATCGGAAGGGAGTTCCACATTTAGGAAGTGCTAGAAAAGAAACTATTGGAGTAGAAGTGGCGGTTGCGTTTAGCGATTGAACAGTAAAACAGGGAGTCCTTGCTGCCAATCTAGTAACACCCTTAAATTGATGTAGTCAGGGCACCAGATGAAGAAAGGCTCGTAAGAGCAGTTGCGATGAAAATATTTATAGAAAAGATCAAAGGGAAGCTATTTCATGTCGGTGAGAAAGTGAGTGAAGTCAAGATGTCTGGTCAGGATCGATTACATTACAGATCCTTTTTTTTTTTTTTCTTCATTGGATTTTGTCAAGAATCTCGAGACGTGCAGTCGGAGCACCAGACCAGATATGGTAGCAATATTCAATGCACGGACAAATGGAAGATTTAATAATTGTCTCTTTCTGTTTCCATATACAAGGTTACTTTTTATTTGATACATAACTAACCTGCAATTTGGGAGGCTTGCGGACACATCAAAATGAAACACCGGTTCACGTACGGTTAGCGAAGTTAAGCAACGTCGAGTCTGGTTAGTGCCTAGATGGGTGACCGCCTGGAAAAACCAAATGCCATGAGTTTGGATTTTACCGATAATGGCTTGGAATTGTAAATCGAAGAGCCGAGTTCCAATTCCTGTTGGGTTCGTTATATTCATTTACGCGCTAATACCCTTCGGAAAGGTATGAATCCACCTCGACTCCCCCAGCTATGGGTTAATTAGTAAGACTAAAATTATTTTCATCTAAAAAAAAAAACCCTTACATTCTAAAAATATTTTCTGGCTTTAAATAATCTGGAACGTGTTGATAAGCCGTAGAAAATGAATCAATAAATTTAATTTTGGTGGTGGAAGAATTGACACTAACTAATCCGGAAACGTTTCATATTTCAACTCTCTTCTTTTTCTTCTATCTACCGTGTCTCTTCAGGAAGTGGGCGATCATACTCCTCCACAACTTCCTATCCTTTGTAGCTATTATTAAAAGACAATTTCATAATTCAGATGACGAGACGAGAAAATAGAGTCTTCCATCGCCGGACTCCAATCATATCCGTCAAGCCAATTTCATTCACAAGGTCGATATTATCATGAAGTCGCCTCTATGAGAAATAGAAAGGATGAATCCGAACCCCGGTCTTATAAGTAAGAAAGCGGACGTTCTAATCACTCCGCCACGCAACTATATATATATATATATATATAAGGGTCATTCAATAAATAAGGGGAATTTTTCGGTATAAGGACTTCTAATACAGTAGAAGCTTACTTTTTTTTTTTTTTTTTTTGTTGTTTTACTTCTTTTTCACATGGATTTAATTTTTTTTGCAGATTAAAAAAAAAACTTTGAGAGTTTTGGCGATTAACAAAGATGGCCAACCAAGAAGCATGCTCCAGGATTGAACAGCGGTCAGTTACCAAGTTTTTTTGCTGAAGGGTGCAAACCAGTTGAAATTCATAGGAAAATGTCAACTGTGTATGGTGCCACATGTTTCAGCCAAAAAAAATATCTACAAGTGGGCTAAATTGTTTAAAGAAGGACAGAGCAGTGTTGAGAATGAAGACAGGCCTGGGAGGCCTACAGAAGTGAGGTCTCCTGGGGTGATCGAATCAGTCAATGACCTCATTCAGTCTGAGAGAAGAACTACTGTGAACTGCTGAGGCAGGTCAAGACATAGCGAACAAACGCAGGAGTCATCAGTCAGAAGGAGTCATCTTGCACCATGACAACGCAATGCCTCACACAACAGTCCAAACGGAGCAGACCATCAACGAGCTGGGCTGGGAACTGCTTACTCATCCCCCTTACAGCCCATATCAGACTTTCACCTGTTTGGTCCCTTGAAAGCGTTCACGAGAGGCACGAAGTTTAAAAGTGACGTTGAAGTCAAAAGTGTTGTGAGCGACTGGCTGAGACATCAGTCCAAAGATTTTTTACGCTGAGGGAATACGGAAGCTTGTGCACAGATAGAAATTGCGTGAAAGTGCTGGGAGACTACGTTGAAAAAAAAAAAGTAAGCTTCTATCTGTATTAGAAGTCCTTATACCGAAAAATTCACCTTATTTATTGAATGACCCTCGTATATATATATTGAACAATAAAAGATATTAAAATTAAAATCTTCATCACACACACTGGGTTGTATATTAGTATTCTTTCGTCTTTATTATTATTTCATTTAGATTCCCCGACTAGTTTCGGCCAACATGGCCATCTTCAGGGAAAAAAAATTCTGCTTGCTGGTAGCAATGAAATATATATATAGTGATTTACTAAGCATATGATCTGTCGTGGATATGACGATAAACCACATCCGCGTCCTGGGTAAGACGACAAACTACGTCCAACAGCAAGGCCTCTGATCAGGAGGTTTTGAGGAGCGTGGAACCACCTCTTAATTGCTGGTGTTCCCAGGTTCACCCTGACCCGGGGTGGTAGCACCTGTTAGGGTCCCCTGCTATGCGCAAATACTTAACTATTACCCGCAATACATTTTTGAAGGAAAAATATTACCAGAAACAGACTTTTGACAAAACAAAATATTACCAGAAATAAAAATTTTTGTCGACATTAAATAATCCATTGAGGTTGATATGCCATAAAAAAAAACACATAGCCGAAAGTATATAGCACCCAGTGAGGATCGAACACATTACTCAGTCGTAATTGATCTAACAAGACAAGCTTACTAATCATTACACTACGACGAAGTGCCTATACGAATAATATTTTACTAAGCGTAGATTAAATGTGGCACAAGGCCAAAATTATGGAGCACCCAGTGATTATCGAACTCACTACTCAGTCGTAATTGATCTAACATTTACATCATGATGAAGTGACCATACATAGGTACGAACAGCAATTTACTAAGGGTAGCTTAGATATGAGACAAGGCCGGATGTGTGGAGCACCCAGTAAGGATCGAACTCACTACTCAGTCGTAACTGATCTCACAAGACAAGCTTGCTAATTTATTACACCACGTCGAAGTGCCCAATTACTTTCTAAGCATAGATTACATGTGGCACAAGGCCAAAAGTATGGAGCAACCAATTGTTATCGAACTTACTACTCAAAATTGATCTAACAAATGTTTTTTCTAAGCGTAGCTTAAATGTGGCACAAGGCTGGAAGTGTGGAGCACCCAGTGAGGATCG